TTCATTTTATCATTACCTGCGTATCGATGGAACATGATAAAACTGCACCGTTTTTGAGAGCTAGAGAAACCAAAACGCCTTCAACTTGGTTACTATGCAACACGGACATCTGTTCTACCGTGCTGAGGAGGAATGCCATATGAACCTTTAGGCGTTGCCAAATTTCCTTTGATAAAACGCGAATTTCCTGGCAAATTTATGAATAATTTCCTTCCAATTTTTCAGATTTTACTTTTGGCAATTTTACCTAAAGATTCTGAAAATTTAAAGGAAAAATATTTATAACTTTCCTGAAAAATAAAAATTTTATCGAAGGAAATTTGGCAACTCTCGAATGCTCATACGGGGTTCTCCCTTAGCACGGCAGTATGGAGCACAAATGGATGCATAGAGGCTGTTGCCAAATTTAGCGATCCCCAACGGCCACCGGAGCAGAGTGCAATACATCAAAAAATGTAAAAAAGTTTAAAGAAAAGTTGAAAAACAACTTAATACCCGAAGACCTCACTCGATCTCTTTTCCTCGTTTTTTGCAGAGAGAAAAGAGGAGAATCCTGTTCTTATACAATGAACTTCTGCGCAAGAGACGTGCGTTCTTCCGATACAGGCTGGCTAAAGTGAAGAAACTTGCTGCAGAAAATAAATTGATGGTAAGACCCTACATCTCCGACCATGATTAATGAATGTGAAAACTTGGGAAAATTAGCTTGGCCTCATTTTTCTATAATAATTTCTGAGGCTGTTTTCATTCCAAAAGTTAACTCAAGAGGGACAAAATCCTCGAAAATTAGTGTCATAATTCTGCCACATGCCAACCCTCAATTTCTCCTTGAATTTGCCTGGTTAGGACAGCGTCGATGTTGCAACAGGCTTTGTCTTCTCAATACAACAATTCTGTTATGCTCAGGATTTTTTATCCTTTACTTACATGCAAATCTGCACAGGTACATTTAGGTACGATTCAGGCGCAAATCTGGGACAAAATATATATTTTTATAAATCACTTAAAGGTTGTTGATCAAATGTAAGCTTTTTATTTCAACACTATTTTATTTAATGAAAATAAATAATTCTACCTATTACCGCCAGCACCTGGGATAGATACTTCCATTCTTGGACTTCGTCTTCATGTATCCTATTTCCCAACATTTGTATTCTTTCTCAAAAATACATGTATACAGGTATGCCCTTAGGGTATAGACTAATTGAAACTACATATGTGTGAATGTTGAACGAGTCCTGGCCATAGCCAAGGTTTACTTGTGTCAATGATTAAAAATTAAAAGGGACAAACTTGGCAAAAGCCATGAGTTAATAATAATATACATGATACTTTTTACTCTTTTGGAACGTACCTAGTTCAATTCTTGTGCTCTTTCGAAAAGTCTAATATACATGATTTCCATTAATTTTTGATCTGATAGAATTTCTCTATATGAAACAATTAGGTACTCAAATGCTTAATTTAATTCTTCCTCTTCCATATTTTCTGGTTTTTTTTTCAATGTGTGGTAAAAGAGCTACCGAATATGCCTATGGATCTGTGATGACAGAGTCAAACGACTTGAAAGAATAGCACACTTTAGGGAACTGATTTGTCTAAGAAATAAATACGTATATATTTACAATTTCTATACATTTTGTATTTCAATATTTGAAAAAATATAAACTTTAATATTTACTCAAAATAACAACATTAGGCATCCAATGAAACTATTTAAAAAAAAAAACATTATAACTTAATTTCAACATTTTTCTAAAAACCAGGTGGATTGATTTTTGTTTCAGGAAGACTTTAATCTCATTATCATGCTTAGATTAAGATTTCCTAAGCTGTTTGGATGGCTTGCAGACTTTAAAATAGGGCAAAGGCATTGTTTGATATGCAATGAGGCAGAACATGAGGGTGCCTCGATATCCTGTGGTGATCCAATGTGCCAATACGTCTTCTGTGCTGAGTGCTGGGAAGATGTGCAGCACGTCTGTTACGGATGTGCACCAGTCAAAATAGAGGCTCATGAGGCGCACGATGCTCATTCCGAAGTTTTCAATACTGAACTATCAGACTGACAGTCTGGTTGAAATTGCACGCATTCTTCTACAAATCGGAAAAGTCCATCTGCATTCAGTTAATAACTGAAAATGTTGTAAATTCTTTCAAACCATTGCCACACAGCTCATGATAAAAATATCTAGCTTTATTCTCTTAAGTTCTACAGCATAACTTAAAAGAGTTTCCAACTTAAAATGAATTCAACAGAAGGGGACAAGTTAGGATTAATTAAACTATTCATTCTCAGAAAAGAGGGTTTCACATTTTAAAATGAAACTAAACCTAAAATCATCTCTTACAAACTTAAGGATAAAATTTTTAGATTCAAGTTTGGATTCACACAACGTTTTTTAGGACCCACCTGTCTTGAAAATGCGGGGTAAGGGGTTTGTTCCTTTCTACTGAATTCAATCTCGACGTGTTTTCTGTAACTAGTTGTTGATAAATATAACAATTGTCATCAAGTGTGTCTATTAGTAATGATTTTGAGCTATATTTTGATTTTTAAACGGTCAAAAAATTGCGACATTTAAATTGGAACCCATAACACAAAAAAGTACGCAAATAAAGCACAAACACCATGGACAAAAATGAATTATGCAATCACATCATTTAGCAAGATGGAGGCAACAAACAGCAACAGATTTTCCTCCCGAAAGGTTTCCTACCAAATGCTTGGTAAAGGTGAAAAAAAATCAAGGAGTCTCTTCACTTTGAAAATTCCAAGTGCACTTTGATAACTACGAACTCTCTTAAATGCATGGCGATTTTGCAGATCGTAAGGATGTGCAATTCTAGTCACATTTACAACTACTTTTCCTCAATATTCTAGTATACAGACCAATTTTTAGGGCACTTAGGATCAGCTTCACAGTGGCAAAATGCAAAAGAGAACCAGCTTTCATGGGAAAATGCTTATTGGTCAAACAATCAGAAAAAATTAGTTGGTGTGTCGAAAATTGTACAAATGATGAGTTTTTATAGCTAATCCATTGGTCTATGTGATTTTAATTAAAAATTCAAGTTGACGAATCTGCATTTTATAAGGCCATCTTGGAATTACCTAACCATGGAAAAGACTTAATTACTAGAAAAATTATCTTTAGATTAATACTCGGTCACTAATTGCCACAAAGGGTTCATAGAATCAATCATACACCCAAGATGCACAAACTAATAACAAAGGCAATCACAATGTTAACGATAATAAGTGTTTCATTCTTTAATATTTTCAAGGAAAAGTTCTTGGATTTAATTGGTGCTTTACAAATAATACCCTTGGAGTAACAGAAGGTCACAAGTCTCATGAAAATTGTCTTCCATTAGAATTTAATACAGTCGTGATTGTTGCGCTCCTAATCATTCTGGGCTAAAATCCTGTCGATCGAGAAATCTTTGAGCACCGAGAGGAACTTACGTTCAAAAAGACAAGGAGCGTGACATGCTTCAGTTTCCAAAAATTTAAGGAACAACTATTACCATGAGAGGTGTGCCATCATCCTTCCCAGACAGTATTGAGAAGAGATTGGTACTTCTTGGAACAAAATATATGTAATTAACTTTAGACAGAATTGTGAAGATGCTTAAAGAAAAGAGAACAATTTCATCAAAGGTAAATGTACATGGAGGCTAAACAAAATTAAAATGCAATGACCCCAAATCCAATGAACCAGTGATACAGTTACAATAAAATAAACTGCCCATCAATTATTTTAAAACTAAAATAAATACAATAAAAGAAGATAAAATTGAAAATAAATTTTGTATGAATAAATAAAATATAATAAATAACATAATTTGAAACAGCTCAGGGTATAAATAGATACCCATAATGAATATAAGTTAACACATTTAAAACAAGATTTAAAAACAACTTTCTTAAAAATGTTGAGTAATTTTACAACAGTCTTTAATCTTTTTCCACACTTTTAAAAATATTCTAAATAATTTTCTCAGAGACTTCCGGAGCCTGACTGAACTTTGATAAAAAGTTTGACTGAGATGGTGTTGACTACATACACTTATTCTGTTATAAGTATGGTAAAGTCAGATAAAAAAATGGATTCTCTGAAAATGGGGTTGAATCATAGTTTTTGGCGAGCCTGAAAGGCAGTGCTGGATGTAAAATGTTCATTCTTGGAGGGAAAAAATAATAATACACGTTCATGGCCAAAGTGCGAAACCACATACCTCCAATTGACCCAGACTTCATGTCCTGGTAGTTTTTTCTTTAAAAAACTAGTCAATGTGATTTCTTGAACAATTTCTTGATTTTTCTTCTCTATCGTCAGAATGTTCTGTAAGAAATTTTAAGCCATGACATTGACTAATAGAAACAGAAATTTTGAAAAACGCAATGGAGATGCTTTGTTTCGCACCTTGTCCATTGATATTTCATAAAACACTTACACCTTAAAAGCGTTCCAGTAATATGAAAAGGCTGCAGTGATTGCAACATCTAAATACATGCTATGTTGAAAATTATTGCACAATTGAATTAGCATAAAGTATGAGGAAATAAATCAAATACTGAGAAAAATAAATTTAAATTCAGGTACACAGAGTAAAATGCTTGTGTATTGTTGCACTTGAAAACACAAGGTAAACTAAGATTCAACTGAAATGCAGGGATGCAAGATTTCTTTTATTCCCAAGGAGTGCATTTATGACACCTAGTGAAAATTGAGCAAGAGGCAATTTTTCTGTACAGCATTTGCAATGCTTTCCAATATTTTCTATACACTTTTTAGCTCAGAGTTTGTTGGATTTAGATGAACAATTTTAATGAGCATTAGGAACATGCTTACTTAAACTTATTTATGTAAATTCAATGATGAATACGTATCAATACACACGTATCAATCATAATAAAGAAGAAAAGTAAACATATTATAGTTTCAACTTTGAGAAAGCTGCATCTTTGGGTTTCATTCATAAGAGCCATTGAAATTGAACTAATATTGCGGATCATCAATTGCCGGAAATAAATTACAAATTAAAAAAGAAGAACATTTCTCAGACTGTAAATCTTTTATCTCGAGGTTTGACCCCATCATTTAAGTTATTTTTTTGTATTATTTAGGTCAATTATCGGTTGATGTATGTGATCTTGGATGTAAATAACTACCTCCAGATGCTATGTGCTCTTGGATGTAAATAACTACCTCCAGATGCTACACCAAAAACTTTTCATCCTCTCCGAACTTCTTCCATGATGAGGCACATTTGATAATATTTAGCAGCTCTGCTCTCTGTTTGGAGCATATGTTTACTATCTTTATTAGATGTAACTGTACTGAATTTAATTGTAGAAGGATTAGTAAAACAAACAAAAAAGATGTTTCTATCTTTAAGAATAACAATACTCTAATAATTAAAAATAAGTTACGAAATGCACCTTTTTAAACAAATGGTTGTCACATCATTTTGACGCAACAATCAACACATTTCAAAATTTCTTGAATCTACGTAAAATCAAAACACCCGCTTAAAATGCATAACGAAAGATCTGCTATCTTAATTCTGGTATTAACTTTCAATACTGGAATGGAGGCAGCAGATCTTTTCTCTAAACAAGGGTGAACTCATTTGTTGTAACTAGAGATTGGAAAATATTGTTGTTATTTTTTCCTAGTTGCGCTGTTAAATTTCACCAATTTCTACATTATTTTTGCTGATTTCGACATTATTTTTGTAGCACTTATTGCGTTCAACAGCTTAAAATAAAGCTTTTAATTTGATTTAACAAGCCTTTGCTCAGTCTTTGTCTCTAGTCCTATTTTACAGAAGCCAAAGAGGAATTTGTAGCCAATGACAACCGATGCTATTTCTAAGCACATTTTGACAATTTCACGGCAAATCGCGGCGGCGAAATTTTCCAATCTCTATGTGTAACCTTCAGTGTGATTAAATACTGTTACATATTATTCAGGCAACCAAAATTGTAACTTTCATGGATTTGAAAGGCATAATAAGTAACCGGAATAGAGATTAAAACTACATAATTATAATGAAAACTGTCAACAGCGAAATGTTGGTTACATCAGGAAAGAGGTTGAAAAATGCCTAAGTAAAAAATATGAATATAAAAAAAAGAATTTGAAGCAAATAGTGCCTAACATCCAAGACACTGAGGGCCATCTGTTTAGGAATTAACAAATGCTTCCCGTTCGATTCCTCCCAAACATGGGAACCACTCCCATACAGCACGTATCAATTAAATGTAATTGACAATAAAACTTTTTAAAATTGAAAATGCTTGTTTGCTTTAGAAATGAAATAAATATTATAACTCTTGGATTCCTATATGAAAATAACGAATGCAGCTGCATGCGATCATCTTACAAGACAGACATGAAAGCAACTTAACAAGTGTATTGGGACAGTCTTCCTAGAAAGGAACTTAAAAATGTTATTTGCACCTTCAAAATAGAGAATTGTAAATAATGACACTTGCTGCCTGTTCTTTCCCCGTCACAATAATCTTACAAATGAAATTTTAGAACTAGGACTTAACCCTTTATTGCATAGCGTTGCATGAAAGCAACAAATGGTTTTCAGCTTTCTTTCTATGTTGGAGTATTAAATTGAATCAAAGCAAGAAATGATTTTTGGGGAGCGTTATAAGTCTGATCTCCTAACTTGAAAAATTACAACGAAAATCGATTTCAACTGACTCTATAGTCGAAAAAATACTCTACAATGTAGATTCTCTCTCCAAAATCAACGATTAGCTCATGCAACAAACGGTTAATGAAGAAATCACTTAAAAGAACAAAATCAATTGACGATTGGATACTCATTGATTTTTTAGTAAATTGTATCTTTTTGAAAGAGGGGTTGTTGACTCAAACTCCTCAATGATCTAATTCTCCAATGGACCAGTACACAAGGTACGAATTCAAGCACTTTGATAAATGTTTTCCCTCCTTTAACCTAGAACATGACTCGCACAATGAAAATATATGAATAACCAAGATACTGATGTTTTTCTTTAAAATTGGTTACGAATAATATTAATATCCCTCTTACAAGGAAAACAAGAGTCTACTTGAATCAAATTATGCACCACATTGCTTTTGACAGGCTTCTCAATCGAACAGGGTTCCACTTTCTTCCTCACCCTTGTGTTGTTCAAAGAGTAAACAGCATGCAATAGCAAAGCTGAAGCGCCAATATTGAGGTTGTCATATTTTCATACTGCAAAGGCTGTCATATGGGTGTTCGATCTGCGATTTTACTCAAGTAGATTGTAGTTTTTTTTATGAGTAAAAAGTTTGACTTCATGCGTCAAAAACGTTGATGTCTGGGTCAGGAGTTACTTCCAGTATGTAGTTCGAATGTGTTCAGTGTGAAATTTTGATGAGAAAGCATACATCATACTGCTTGAATTTGCACCTTGTATAGTAATCCATTGATGTGCAATAAATCCAAGGAGGTTACTATTTTCTAGTGAGCAGTAGTTCCAATAATGTAGGGAGATGTGCATCTTTCTTCTTCAAATGACTCTATTGATATCAAAGTAGCATAGTTAGACAGCTTCCCGCAAACCTTTCGTTGGGCACATCACAGTATTTGGACCTTAATTTCAAATTTTTATTCCAGCGCAGCAAAGATTTGGCCAGGGCTTTAAGTGTTCCTAAACAGGGCTCTACGGGATGCAAATCACACAATTCAAGAATTTTCTTATCTTTGGAATATTTAAAGATGAGACCCAAATCCAAGGGTGTCGAAATCGACAGCCCGTTTGCCGCAGCGCGCTCAGTTGAATTGCAGAAATCAAAAGGTTCTTTTGTGAGGGTTTTTTCTGTGCATCCTGACTTATTACATACGGATCACTTTTCAACGTATACTGATAATATTTTAGTATACTTTACAGTGTTACTACGTTTCTCCTCTATAATTATTTGAATAAAATGTAAAATATTTCATCTTTTCGAAAATGTCTGCAAAAGTGATTCGATAATCAGTCAGCAAAGAATATAAGAAAAATGTTTACAAAACTTATAGTCAGATGATCATTGTATGTCACAGCTGTCTTGCCGAAGCTGAGCCGATAGAGGAGAATGAAGAGCGATTCCTGTGCACATCCTTTCCATTTAACGACAATTCTATTATGGCTTATCACAACCGAATCAGTGAGTTCGAAAACACACAAACTCGGGTTTTTTACGATTTTCACTTTTTTACGGTTTAGTAACACTTATGGATAGAAGCAGCTGCATGCAAAGGGAAATTTCGGAATTGCAATCGGAAGAGCTCGAAACAGTGACGGGAAAAAGGAAAAATCGAAGTACTTCATTGAAAATACCAATTTTTAGCCATTTCAAGGGAAACGGGTGACCATCCGATTTTGCGTTTTTCTTTTTTCGGTTCAGTAAACCTTGTACCAACAAATTATATAAATATTCAAGCGTTATTCAGGTCGAAAAAAAAAAAAAATTTCTGGGCAGACTATGAAAAATCAGTATTTGAAAGTCAGTGAAAACGAAAACAAACAAACTAGGAAATTTTTAAACGCTTAATTCTCTGTCATCAAACATGGTGATCATCAAACATATTGATTTCAACTTGGTGCTTTACAAAGTCTCTAAGTACTTGTCCTTTGGCACCAAAAAGGTTTTTCTTGAACTAACTTCTTCGCCCGCTGCACAGTTTTAGGTGTTTCCTGAACAATTTTTTTTTCCCCGAGTTGGTGTGTTTTCAGACTCACTGATTCAATTGAAGCGCTGGGTGCAAAGAGGGCATTTCTTAATTGCGGTGTTTCAGAATCTCCGTTAACGTTTCATTCACGATAATTAAAGCTAATGTATAGAATTCTTTAAAACTTTTACTGAATTTTATTCATGATTTTACAATGATGAAAACAAAACATTTCAGAAAATTCAACCTATAGTTTCCCCTGTAAAACATACATTAGCAGTGGAAGTTCTGAAACACTGCAGCCAAAGAATGCCCTTTCGGCACCCAACACCTCGATTTGTTTAAAAAAAATTCTAACGAATTAATTCATTTTTTTTTTTTCACAGAATAGTTCTTTCAACATTTGTAATGAAAAAAGAATGCTCTCTTGAAAAAGTTTCTGATAGGACATAGAAGAAACTTCTACTTCATTTTCGAAAATTCAAAGGTTTGAATTTATCTAAAAAAAATTGAAAAGACGAGAGGTCGTGTAGAAATAGATTACAATATACGATAAGGTATACTGACAAATTTAAAACCATCAGTATTGCCAGAAAAAGAGAATCATACGTTGCAGTCCAAATGCCATGATACGCCTGTTTAAGTGAATTGCCGCGGCGGCGAGGTGCGTCCAGCAAAGGGTTCATACGCAAAGTCTCACAAAGGAGACATACGACACTACTTATACATTTTTTTCAATTTATTCACCTTAGAATACATGTCCTCCTGGATATCAGCTGGCAAAGTTACTGATTTGACAGTTTCATAATTAGGAATCTCATCGGCACTATCTCCATAGGATGAATTTTGAACGCTCTCATAATTTGGCTCAGAGATCTCTCTGCCAATACTCTCATAATTTGACTCACCATTCATCTGCTTTACATTTGTCAAACTTGCATAATCAGGCTCAGCGATAACTAATTTTTGCGGAGTTTTCTTGGCTTTGTTCACTTTGGCATAGCTTGCTTCTGAATACTTGAGTCCTGACTGCGGCTTCAACTCTTCATAATTGGGGTCTGAGTCAGTTAAATTAGATTTGTGGATTTCTTCATAACCTACCTCTTGGTAGACATCATGAGACAACTGCTCATAAGGTGGTGTGCGGTTAGAATTTATAGTCTCATAACCAAGACCAGACTTCTTCTCACCAAAAACTGTTTCATAACCTGAAATTTGATCATGCGCACATTCTACCTCTTCATTTTCTAATTTTGCCTGTTCTAAATTCTGCTGCTTCATTGACCTGTCATGATTGCTGGTGAATTTGTCCATGTCTCCAATCGAATGGCGCGTTGGATTTGATTCTTGATCAGATATACAGATTGAATCTCGACTGCTAGACCAGCTAGTTGTTTCTTTTCTTTTCTTAATAACTTTGGCATACATTTCATCAATAGTTTCTGGTGGACGAGGCAATGGTGAGTTGGCTTGCCGCTTTTCAGGTTTAGGTGAGCCAACATTTGCAATTGAACTTGTGCAACTAGATGAAGAGGCTAGAAAAAAGGAGAAAAAATAAGTCTTAAAACTTTCAGAACAGAAAAACATACAAATACATTAAATCATTAAGGGACAGGATTTTACTTGAACTAATTCTTCAAGATAGAGACAACCTAAAAATGATGACCGAAACAAAGTTTAATGCCATTGACAAGAAATAGTATATTCAACTCAAGAAAGCAGGCCTAAATAGCTCAAAATTGCTGAAGTTAAGACTGAAAAAATATGTAATGAATATGCTTAAGCCTACTTCGTAATCATAGAGACATTGAGAGAATAAAGAGGGTGAGTAGCTTCAAAGCGTTTTGAATGGGTCATTTCTAAGGGGAGACAAAGCTGCTCAGAATCTGACCAATCAAAAGGCACTAGTGGAGTTGACGTGGCAAAGCAATGCCCGAGTATGAGTTCAGACCATCAGCAAACACTGTTTTCTCTGCCTGGCTGCGTCGTCAACGCCTGCCAGAAATATTGTTTCAATAGGTCCCATTTTTAACATTTTCAAAACAGAGTTTCTTTGCCATTTAGGATATAAAAACAATCTGAAAAATTCCTAGGAGCTTAGTTTACTCCCTACTTTCAGAAAATTAATTAAAAAAGAAGGTGCCAATGACCCATTGACTGTAATTACATATTTGTCAATATGAATAAAGCGACAGTAAAGCACAGACTCTGCCTCATAACATGCGCAACCCAACTTTGCAAAAAGTATGACACTTTCATGCTCTTTGAAATGGCAGCAGGTAAAATTAGGGCTACTCCGCAATGGACCTGTTGCTAACTTGTGCTAGAGCAAAAATAATAGTTGTTCCTTGTAGATAATGTCTCGACAATCACAATGAGCGCATCAACAAACTCTGAAATGCGCTCCTAACTTCACAATCTGCGTAAGAAATTTGCGGTTTTTTAAGCTTCCTGCTTCAAAAAAGATACTGCAGCACAGGTGAACATCTCGTTAGAGGAGTCATTCCATTTAATCCCTGCTCAACATGGCCAACGCTTCCGCGCACAAGTTGAGGAGAGCACAAGGTCAATCAAGGCGGATATCTATAAACGCGAGAAAAATGTGAATGTAAACTGTGAACGAGCCGATTGTTGTCAGGTGCTTCGAATCATCGTCCCGCCACATGTGTTTTGGCACATTGGCGTCGGCTATGTTGAATATTGCGTAGTATCCTTGTTAGCAGGGTTTGGATGGAATGACTCCTCTAATGAGATGTTCACCTGTGCCATGGTATCGTTTTAGAGGCGGGAAGCTCGAAAAATGTGAAGTAAGGAGTGCATTTCAGACTTTGCCGATGCGCTCATCATGATTTTTGAGACCTTTTCGATGAGTAACAACTCTTATTTTTGCTCTGGCTAAAGTTTGCAACAGGCCTGTTCCCTAGCTTTCCCATGTATTTCCTGACTTTTCATAGTTTGATAGTTTCTTTTTATTCAAAATATTAAATAATAAAGAGCTCTTTGTTACAGACATATGAAAGTTCATAAATCTTGAAAAAATAAATGAATTATGGCAACTTACCTTGCCGTGAATGGGCATGGGCACTGACATGCTTCAAGCTATTTACACTTGGTGGCTGGGGTGGATCAGCCATGCTTGATGTTACAGCTTGACTCATCATCACCGGTTCGACATCAGCCCTTACTGATGATATATGAGGCTGAATTTGCGCATAAGTTTCACTTCCACTCGTGTAAACCTGGTTTGCTGGCTCATCGATGGCCGCATACATTTCATCTGCAAAAAGTAATATAATCATGTGACAATGTGTAAAAAGTAGCCAATTGAGAAATTCGTACAGCTGAGGATTGTACATCTCTCAGCTTATTCTGCAAGCCTTGGTGGTGCAGTGACAAGCAGGATGGCAAATAAGGTCCTATTTTCAAACTCCATGACTTTACTATAAAATTCCACAACTTTTGGTGGACAACAACATGCAGTCGCAAAAAGCATTAGTTTTAAAGAGATGCAGGATCTATCTACGTAATTAATTTGGTTTTGTGGGTGAGTTTGATGCTGAATTGAATTTTAGCCAAAAATGCAGATCTATGATTTGCTTTGCTAAAGAGAGAAATCCATTTTATAACCCTTGCAAATTAGGAAAAAGTTGTGGACAGTAATTAAAATATTTGAATTTTCATTAACATTTCCATCAATGTACTTACAGAGAGGATGGCAGAGGATAGATCTTTCTACTATTTTGCTTTTTATAAACAGTGAAATGAGAAGATCAGAGATCTCCGCGGTAAAATTTGGTCCTAAAATAACTATACTGCCCCTTCATCTGTTGCCTGACACGCTAAATGAACGAACCTTCAGCGGCAGCATTAGGCAAATTTCAGGCAGTCATACCGTATTTGAACAAACAGAAGGAATCGAGGCGCCAGAAATGTAAAACATTCAATGAAATTGGAGCGACAAGCAATTGAGGAACACTGTTGCCACCTCAAGGAGAGACAAAAATTCCTTTGCTACGCATATTCAGGCATGTGCTACAAAAATTCCCTGAAAATCAAAATCATGCCTTGCCTAGTAAGTCTACTTAATAACTTAAAACTACTGCTCCTTAAAAATACTTCTAAAAGACTAACATTTTAAAGCCATGAAAAAGGTACCTGAATCATCTGAAACTGTGGCGTAATGAGAGTCCACTAATTCCATGCGGCGATTTCTTTCACCCATGATATTTGCTAACGGTTCACGTACACTGATGCTAGTGTAGCCCTCTGTAAAAACGATAGGATTTGACAAAATGAAACTCTATAGATTAGCATCAATTCATATTGAAGATATGTATATATAGATAGTGGATGCATTATAGCAAGCTACTGTGCTGTTGTAAACACAAATTTCGATGAGAATGAAACAATATGTGATAATGTTGCATAGTTCTCAGCTGACAAATGTGAACACTTTTTGCTGTCACAACCTCAAATCAACTTCTGTACAAGTAATTAACATGTATTTTTAACAGAGATCAAATGGATTGCATTTTGCAAAAAGGAACCACTAGCATTGCAATGTTGCTAAGATTGTGCACCTTCTTTTGTCTTGGAGGAAAAACCCGATTATCATTAATAGTTACTATTTTACTCGCTAAAAACTGTAAATTTAAGACAAAAATTACCATCTAAATTTCATAGTTTTTCACGATTTCCGCAATTTTATTGCAAAAGATGAAGTTGCACAATCTTAGCATCATTGCAATGCTAGTGGTCCCTTCTTGCAAAATGCAATCGAAATGGAAGTTATAGTTTCTAAATTCCGTCATGTGTACTTTTGCTATTTAAGCAATGTTAATTGTAAACACTCATGCATGTTTAGGAATTGATTTCCAGACTTTGTGATATGTGATTCGTAATCCTCGAGCAATTTTAAGGAGAAATATATTGCGTAGTGCTTTAATTTATATCTTGTCCAGGGGCCTCTTATCAGCTTTGCATTCCCAGACAGTATATTCTATTGAAGAGCATAATTAAAAGCTGTCAGAATAATCTTCGAAAAAGTGCAGCCCTTTACTGACCGACTATTTTCTTTGATCTGTCGATTGTGCACTTAAATATTAGCAAGACCAAGACCCTTACTGCTAGAATCCTGAGAATCTCCACTGAAATGAGGTTGCTGGACAGTATTCTGAGGAAGAGGTGGTGTCATATAAGGCAATTCATGACTGGCTGCAATCCCACCAGTGATTGCAGTTGCTGCAGGAATATCTTGGGCTGAGCTTTCCCGCGACACATCTCGTTCAGTCCCAGAATCATTGCTGTTTGACTTTCGCCCGGGAGAGGGCACACTTCTCTGAGCTCCATCAACTTCATCTGCATCTCTAAACAAAGAATAATTGTCAATTGATTAGAATGCTGGGAGTTCTTAAATATTTTCTACTGCTCTTTGCCTCTTGACTTACGTTTTAAGCATTCAAGCTCTGCTCACATGGTAACTATTAGTCTAAATGGTCGAATCATATACTTAGAGGCATGACACATTTTTGTTCCATGCTGCTGTATGGGCAATTTTACGAAAACTAACTAATTCCAGTCATGATCGTTTTATTTGTAAAATGTGTAATGAAAAGTCTCATATTTCACCAAATGTGATGAAAAATGAGTGTTTTTAACAAATTATAACCATTACAATTGTGTAAATTGATGGATTAAGCTTCATTTTCAGCTTTTACTGCATAAAATGTCACGACCGTCACAGTCATCATAGGTAGGTTGCAATGATTACAACCTAATAACTTTTTTTTGGTCTAATCAATTTTTCTGATTTTTGTACTGATTTCATCAAAAATACTTGCAGTTGAGTGAACAATGCATTTGATAACGAAAAAAAATGTGTCATCCTACCAAAATATTTCGAAAATACGCTGTCATTAAGTTTCAAGTCACGACCGTCCCAGGTGTTTTTGCTTGTCAAAACGGTCACTAGGAGCAGTTAAATCGTTGCGAAAGTGATTTGAAAGTGTACAAGTGAAATGAAAGGAAGTGTTCCTATGGTGCAAGCTTGTGCAGTAATCACCCAAAGTCATTTTGAAAATTTTACCACGATTTGAAAGGTAAGAATACTTAGCTAAACCTTTCTTTGCGTCCCGACCGTCACGCCCTTTAGTTTATGAAGCGTGTGATATTCTGAAAAATCTTTGTGGCCACTTTATAGTCCTTAATACTAATTGCAAGTTTACCAACTTTCGATAGTGTACCTCATTGCTGTTGAGTACACCCGCCGTTTTTGTTTAAAATTTGTCACGACCGTCACAGTCACGACCGTCGCACCGCATCGGATGTTTAGTGTGACGATCGTGTCTTCAAGACGTTCTTGAGTCAATCATTAATTTTAATATCACTACAATCGAGCGAACGGGGATGGGACGCCCTCCCCCCCCCCCCCCCCCCCCCCCCCCGTGGATCCACCTATGATCCTAAAATAACGCTACATCGCTACATCTGAATATTTCTAGGAAAAATAGCCGTAGCTTTCCTAAAAAATAAATTGGTATTTTATAGAGGAATGTTTGGCAACGCTTGAATGTTCATACGGCCGAAAACAAAAAAATACTCGCAGGGCAGTTCCCTTTCATTGTTTTGGACACGTGAGGTGCGGCGGCTCAATAAAACAAAAGGCCCTTGCGCACTAAAAAACCCCCCTTGCTTGGGCCTTTGCTAATGGTGTTCTAGAAGGAATGTCCCTTGCTTCCTTTGTTCCAAAAAGTTGGGATTTCCCGGCACTGGAAAACAAGGAAATAGTTTCTAAATGACATCCTAATTGCAAGAGTGGTCAGCAGGGGGGGGAGGTTGGGGGGTTGCTTGTGGTGGCTACAGACCGAGCATATAAAAGAGTAATCCCACCCCTAAAGTTCAATCAGTGTGGATTCAGTGAGCGAAGTGGCTCAATGGGTGATCAGGTCTGTGGCTTAGTGGGTCAGTGGTTTAGTGGTGTAGTGGATTAGTGGTACAGTAGTTTAATGGTGCAGTGGTTTAAGGGTGCAGTGCAATTAGCAAGCTGAATCGCAACATGAGTTAAGCTCCTAGTATGTGAGTATAGCAGATAATAGCTTTATCATACTCTCTATCTTCAATTATATTTAAACTATATACTTTTCATTTTTGAAACTTTTTATTTTTCAAATTTTAAAATTTATTTTTTCTATTTTCAATTCCCACTTTGGAGTCTTAAAATTTTTAATCTTTGAATATTTTATTTTGGAAATTTTGAAACTTGTATTAAGTTTTTGAAATTTGTATTCAGTTTTTGAAATTTTTGCTTTTCAAATTTTAAAATTGAATTTTTCTATTTTCAATCTCTACTTTTGAATCGTAAAGTTACGAGTATCATAAATTATCCTTGAATATTTTGATTTTAAAGTTTAAATTGTATTCGGTTCATCCTATTATTTTCCGTGCCTATTTCAAAATATTATGAATCAGTAGAGTATTTTTATTCTTCAAAGAAAGAAATTATGAATGAAATCAACAATGATTTATACTATTTTTCCAATTTTTCTAAACTGAGAGTAATGTTTTTTCCCTTCTTCAGATCATTGTTTTGAATTGAAAATGACATCAAATTAAATGGCTGTAGTTAATGAATGCGTAGCACTATTACATTGTTTGAAAAAGCCTAAATATTCAATAGTGTTTTACTTTTTCCGAGAAAATTAGCCGATGTATCTTTCATTCATTCTTCATGAATATTTTTAAAAGAGAAGACAATTCTCAAAAATTTCATAAAAAATTGCTGATTGGTTTTTGCAAAAAAAAAAATTGAGCTCCACTGTTAATTGGCCGGTCAGGAGTCATGTGGAGCTATGTGCATTAAGACATGAGCCCTGAGACTCATAAGAATATATGCATAACAGGGCTCACAATACACATAGCTCCGTTTCGCAGAAACACGTCCAATTTACATTAAATGTTCCTTTACTAGCTTTACTTTCTTGATTTTTCTTTTTTTTTCAGATTGGCAAGAAACTAAGTCTGTGAAAGCGCTTCCAGCACCGTGTGCAAAGGTTTCAACTTATTTTCTTGAATTGGGTTTTTTCCTCCTCTTCAAACACTTCATACTAACTTCCTACTTCATAAGAGACAGGGTCCGATTGGAAGCTACTTTCAGCGTATTGATCGTAAGTAAAATTGCTTTGCAGCATTTTTATTTTTCTCTCAAATATCATGCTAGTTTTCATCTCCATGTTAATTATATAAGTCTTTCTTTTTGTTCTTTTTCAGATCAACAAGAAACGAACACAATGAAAACAGTTTCACATTGTTATATATTGGTTTTTTGTTTTATTTACCTCATATTGATTTTGCTCTTTTACCGACTGGTAGGAGACGAGCACTTCGAAAACTGTTCAACTTCATTTCATTTTACATTGTATTTTACTCTATTAACCTGAACTAATCTACTTTTGTATATTTTTTTTTTCAGATCGGCAAAACATGATCATAATGAAAGCTGTTTCACTTCATTTTTTACTATTGTCTACCAAGTCCAACCATCGAAGAAAATCTGTGATTTATAGGTCCAATATAGTTGAAACTTGGTGATATGCATTGATTTGAATGATGAAGAAACTCGCCTTATTGCTATGTACCTTGCAGTCTCACTTTAATGGTACTCCTTTACAACAGGACGTAAAAATTTGATAGTTGGATGGATCTTTTTAAATTTTCAATTATTTTCAGTGTTGTAAAAATTAACAGAAATGTTGGTGTAATTCACCAGAAAGTACCTGTTTAGTTACAGAGAACAATATTGCACTCTTTTCCGAGTGATATTAATGAATTCCAGATTTTTTACTACTAGATGATTACAGTGCTTTTAGAAAGTATCAAGTTTGACGAGGCCATTCAGAGTGAACAAAACAATTTTTTGGCTTAAGGTGATTCCATGGACGCCACATTTTGTGTCAGAACGGCATGCGATATATCGCATGGATTAGTTCCATTTTTCAGCTACTCGTCATTTTCTCCAATTTTGAGATCGCAATTCTGTTGTCAGGAGACTGAAGCACTCACTTACCAATTTTAACAAAGAAATTCAACGTAATAAAGTCGTGGTTTTTTTAGAGAGAAGATATCGCATTCGAGTGCAGTTTCGATATTAGTATCGAATGCGATATTTTCTCTCTAAAAAAACAACGCCTTTATTATGTTGAATTTCTTTGTTAAAATTGGTAAGTGAGTGCTTCAGTCTCCTGACAACAGAATTGTAATCTCAAAATTGGAGAAAAATGACGAGTAGCTGAAAAATGGAACCAATTGATGCGATATATCGCATGCCGTTCTGACACAAAATGTGGCGTCCATCGAATCACCGTAAGTTTTCATTTTCAAGTTAGGTTAAGCATTGACTAATCATTCCTTTTTTTATTCTTACTTTGTTTCAGGTCTACCAAAAATGCTCCTTTACAGTATGAATTCTGAATGCCAACCGCTGCAATCCTTTTTCAGTGATTTGTGGAACCAAAATACTTAAAACCACGGTGTGCATCAATGTGGGTGATGATGTCACTCATCGCGCTTTCTAAAAGGCTATGCGCCCCTTCATAATGCCGTGCTTAATAAATACGCCGTATAAACCTTCAGGCGTTGCCAAATTTTCTGTGACAAAACACGAATTTCTCGGTAAATTTATGAATATTTTTCTTTGAATCTTACAGATAATTTTGTTCAAAATTTTACCAATAATTCCTGAAAAGTTCGAGGAAATATATTCATATCTTCCCTTGTTTTATCTGGGGAAATTTGGCAACTCTCGAATATTCATACGGTGTTATTCCTTAGCACGACAGCATAGGGGATGTGAAAATTTTGTAATTGAACAGATTTTCTTTAATTGTAAATTATCATTAGTGGTATAAAATTAACAGAGATTTTGGCATAACTATATACAAATACATTAAAAGTCCTGATTGATCGCTCATGGAATCAATAGCGAAGAAAACAGAAAACATGACAAAAATACAGAAAAATTGCATTCAATTTCACATAACTAACTAATATCATAATAAAGAATATTGGAAACTATCGAATTCGACGAGTAAATTTGGCATCAACAAAGAAATTTTCCCGCTAAAGTTTCCATTTTCAAATTAGGTTAAGCTCCAAGTAATCATTTCTTTTTTTTATTCTTAGTTTGTTTCAGGTCTGCAAAAAACGAAGAAAATGTTCCGCACTGAGGACGGAAGTAGTGCCCTCCAGAATGTGTATTTGTTGTGTAAAATTTAAATAGTATAAACTAATCAAAAGTAAAATTTAATAATTGAATTATTCAATCCAGTTTTAATTGATTACATGTATAAAATCTATAAAAATAATTATTTTAAAACTATTGTGCAGCACTTGACTTGAATGCCATCTGCAGTTTTTTAAAAATATTTACATTTCCGTCCAGTTCTGCGTATACTTCTCATTTATTACTATCAAACAATATTGCATCCAATTGAAAGTAAGTTAACTGCATATCGCAAAAAGGAATTATCTTTCCGGTTCACTGTAAAAAACAAATATGTTCCACACATTTTACACACACAAATAGGTGATTTTTAAAAGAACCAGAAAAATTAGTTTTTTTTGCGTTCTGCAGTTGCGTTACTACAACTGAATGCAAAATTGCAATTGAAGCTACATGGTGTAGTCCGAAGACAATATGTAACTGTATTTCAAATTAAATTTTGGGAAAATAAGACGTAAATTTCATTAATTGGACGCAATTCTATCAAACGGAACTATGTCCATCATGACATAAGCCCTGTTATGCGCATATGCTTATGGGTCTTAGGGCTCATGTCTTAATGCACATAGTTCCGTTTGACAGAAATACGTCTAATTATGGCATGTTGCCCTGACAAAAATTTGGACAAGAGAGTACTGGACATATTTATGCTAAAAGGAACTATGTTTCATGCTAATCCCATGTACATGGTTCCTTTTAGGATAAATGCGTCTCTGATGAATGATGGTGGAGCAGTTTCTTAATTATTCTGAGGGTCTAATACTTGTAATTAGAAGTCCAGTAGCCAGTCTTGTCCCGTGTTACAAATCATACTAATAATTCTTGATGTTTTTGTTTGTTCCAGAAGAAGCGGGCTCGAAGGGAGGAGGGTGGCTCGCTAAGGGAGGAGGTTCCCGGGGAAACGGGGGGTCCGTAGGGTTGGGAAGGATCGCGGTATAAGGTTTCCCAGGGGGAGGCTCCCGGGGAAAGGGGGGTCCGTGGGGTTCGTTGCGGGGTCGCGGAATAGGGTTTCCCAAGGGGGGTTTTCCCGGGGAGAGGGGGGTCCGTGGGATTCATCTAGGATCGCGGAGTAGGGCTCCTAAGGGGGGAGGGGCCGCGGAATAGGATCACGGGGGGAGGAGTAGGATTTTTTTTTTTTTTTTTTTTTTTTTTTTTT